CCTCCCTCCCTCCCTCCCTCCGACCTTTCCCTTTCTATCATGAGCGATGCGGTTGGGAACAAGAGCGGTGCTCCGCCTCCCCCGAGAAGCTTCCCTGCAACTCTGATCACACACAACAAGAGCAGACAAAACCTGAGTGCCCGCCCCACGCCCACCCGCGCCCTCGTCGATCCATGTTGCGCTCCTCAGGGGGACCGCCAATTTCATTGTGAAGTGGCAGGGGGCCAAGAAGCAGGCCACCGCGAACATCGTAGAAATCAAGAAGGTGGGTTTGGGGAATGTGGCGAAGGGCAACAGATATCGGAGCAGTAAGGCCCACCGCGTACTTGCGAAAACCAGCGCTGTAGGTGAGTTTTTTTTTTCCCCGGAATGCGCGCTGGTTGTCTTGAAGAGCGGCGCATTCTCCTTGCCTCGTCCCACAGACAAAGGTAGTGATCGATGTTGTCGCCAGGAGTAAGTGGGTTTGCCACGTCTCCTGGCCTGTCTACTGGTGTTGCGACATTGCTGTTTGGCCCCACACACAGAAACGCACTCAGTGTCTTAGACCAGGAGTAGGCCAGGGGCGGCGCGGGGCGAGAGGGACAGGGAGGAAAGGTTTGCGCTACACACTCGTCGACAAACTTTTTACCCAACGGATTTACAAGTCCACAATTAAGGCCGCGCGTTTCCGGTGATGGCATCTTCGCATCGACCCCGCTTGCCGGACCCTTGCTTGCATCAATTTTCGGACAAGGTGACCACCCAGGGACTGATCAAGGGGGACCAGTCGGGAGAGTTTGTGCCGATTTTCGCGTTGGATTGCAGGTATGAGGTTACATGCCCGCGCGAAACGAATAGAATAAACACTTTGCGACCACTCTACCCCGGGATGTGTTCAAGGTCAGGCGTAGCTTGCACGCGTTTTGTTCGCGGGATCCGCGTGGTCAATGATTTGCATCGCGTTATTTTCCGATTCAAGAGGGAGGTAGTTGGGGTTCACCCCCAAGTTAAGTTTGTTTCTTCTGGCAACCGAAACCCGAACACACACACACACACACACTCATGTGGGCATGCCGACGATAGTTGGCGAGGGTACCGCTAACAGCGCAAGGATAGTCTAGACCCAGGTTCATTCATTCATATTCTTATAAGGGGCCGCAGAAAGAAATTCTGGTGTGACATGATGTGTTTCTGTATGCGCACGGGTGTCATGATCTGACGCTTTGCGGTTTGCTGTGCCCCTATCTCCACTGACACCGCCGACAACAACAAACCGCGCCGCATACACCCTCAGGGGACTGGAACCCGTAGAGTGGCACCCGTCGACAGACTTCGCGGTGACCAGCGAGGGCGGCACGGTCTACGCCAGCGACGGCGTGGATCTGAGCGAGGAAGATTGGTCGGACTACTGCGAGAAGAGCGCGGCGCCGGTTAGCATCATGGAGATCGAGCACAAGTTCGAGGTTGCTTGAAAGGGGTTTTTGTCTTCTTGTGCTCAACATGTCGCTGTCGTTCGTGGGTTCGAATCCGGATATGAACACTTTTTGAGCGAGTTTTTTTCCTGGCACCCGTGAGTACTCTGGTGCACAGCATGGTTGATGGTAAAGGTTCAACGTCTGGGTTACTAATTGCGCTAGCTCCGAGGTCGCTTGGTTTGAAGTTCGAGACACAGCGTCGCTGTGAATTGTCCAGCGAGAGGGCGGGGTCGTCGACTCGTGACCTGACTGATTGCACACGGAAGAGGCCTGCCTGCCCGGCATACAGGAAAGGAAGCATGTAAATGTACAAAGAACACCCCCGAGACCTTGATTGATGATATTTATATTTCAAGGAGTCCTCCCTTCGGTCTCTCGTCGAAACGTGTGGAGATGGCGTGGGTGGAGTGGGTGCCTTCCAAGGGAAGAACGCTGTCCGCACGCCGGATGGGGTATGGGCAGGAGCGTCGCGCTTGTGCTGTTGACAGGATACGTCGGGAGCATCAGTGGCAGGCGCGTTCGTGTAATTTTTATTCGCCACGTATATGTGTACGTATTGGATGACGTAATTTTTCGGTCAAAGATGACAGCCCAGCTGGCGAGGCCGCCACCCTTCTTCTGGGTTGGTAGGTGTTTTCGCGTTGCCATGGGGAACAGTGCAGGCGGACGAGGCATGAAGAAGTCGGGGGGGGGGGCACGCGTCCCCCTCTCCCCCCCTTTCAAAAGTGTGAGATGTAGCAGGTCCTGGTGATTTTTTGTTGGTAGGGGAGTTCGGAGAGCCCGTGAGGATGAGAACAAGATCGACAGGTGATATCTCGCAAAAAATACCAAGCATCGTTTTCGGGTTTGCTGAGCCTCCCTCCGCCGGGAACGCTCGTTCACACAAGATACAGCACCTGTGCTGGATCCGCGCCTGACATATATTGTCGCTGTGTATGGTGACGAGTAACGGTAGTGAGGGGGTACATTTTCCGTGCGTGTTTGTTTTCGCCTGGATGATGGTGTCTCATGTCGGTCCCCGCCCCAGCAGGAAGCGCTTTCCCATGATCTGACACGCCTCCGTCGCACACCAAGACCAAACTTTCCCTTGCGGGTCCATTTTCATCTCCCACTCGTGTATTGTAATCGTTGATGTTTGTATCCGAACAAATGTTGTCAATTCACCGACCATCTAGAGAGCAAAACACGCAACCCACACGACAACCGGCTACCGAAGAAACAAAGTCGTCCGTCCTTCAAATCGATCAGATACAACTATGCAGCGGAGGACGGCAGGTCTCGGCACGACGTCGCAAAACGCAGACGTGAGCGCCTCACGGAAAAATGTCGGGAAAAACAACCCTGCTGAAGGCATCATGTACTAATTAGCTGGAGCAGGCCGACTCGTATCAGACAGCGAATATCAGAAACCATTTACATACGTAGGGCTACAGCAGCAGCAGCAGCAGCACGCACGCACGCACAAAGTACGACACAGCACTCTACTAAAGGAAACGCGCAAATGAAAAACAAAGGTGAGGCACCGGGAGGGGGGGGGGGCATGCGAGAGCGAGAGCGATCGAGACACCTGCCGAAAAACTAAATAAACCGCAATGGATTGAGCTTTATGGTACTCAACAAAGACCGTCACGACGATGACACCGGAAGACGCCAACAACACTCAAGACATAGAGAAGAACACAACAAGCAACACAGAAATACAGCTATTGCACGTGGGGCGAGAGAGGTGGATACAGAAAAAAGGGACCGCTCCCCCGACCACAGCAAGCATCTAACGTTTGTCGCGAGTCCCGCGAACAGAAACGCACCGATGCTGCCGCCCAAAGCCAAACTCCAAACCACCACCAACCACGCGTGCCGTGTCATGCTTGCCTCTCAAGCCGTCTTCGGCGCCCTTTTCCTCTTCAACCTTCTGCTCGACATCGGTTGCGGGGTGGGGTCGAGACCCGCATTGCATTCCCCGGTCGCAGTCAAAACGTCAGAACATCTTCTGCCGTTTAGGGTTAAATTTTTCACCAGCGAGAGTAGTCACGACAAACTGTGCAACGCAAGACGTGTGTTCAGCCCCCCAAAGCATTGGAACCTTGTAGAGCAGGAATTACAACGCGCAGGTACTGCTGCCGAAAGCTCTGTGCCCACCGTCTCCGTAGGACATGTGATGTAAACGACTCCCTCTAACACGTCCCTGCTTGGTACTGCTCCCACCCCCCTCTCTCTCTGCCTTATGTAACCCGCTCTCGATCTACACGTGCAGCGAAAGACAACGAGATGGCGACGACGCGTACTGGCGATGCCGCAGCGCTCTAGAAAAACACACACACCAGAACCGCAAAGCACCCGCTTTCGGGAGGCGTGATAATAAAGTGCTCCAAGCAGCTGGAAAAGGCTTGCTGCGACACGTCACCTTGACAACGAACGGCAGAGAGGAACCGGTCCACCAAAAAGGCGACCTGCGGCTTGCAAAAGCGGCCCTACTGCTGACGATGCCCTTTTGTTGTTCTTGGTTTCATTTTTTCGCCCTCGTCGACCTCTCAATGCGTCCCGGCAAACACACACGACACGACCATTGGTACGAGATCCTGTCGCCCTTTCGAGCGTTCTCGATCTTCCCCCCCCCCCCCCCCCCCCCCCCCCCCCCCCCCCCCCCCCCCCCCCCCCCCCCCCCCCCC